CTTTCTTTCTTTCTTTCTTTCTTTCTTTCTTTCTTTCTTTCTTTCTTTCTTCTTTCTTTCTTTCTTTCTTTCTTCTTTCTTTCTTTCTTAATATATTGCCACCTAACAGCTTTGTTTGTTTGTTTATTTATTTATTTAAATTTTTGTATGCCACTTACAGCGAGTCAAGGAAGTTTACAGGAAATAAAAACACAATTTAAAAGAAATTAAAATAATAAAATAACCCCCTCCCATCCCCTCACCCTTGGCAACAACACACACACCAGCCATTTAATGGGCTCTATCCCGCTCTGCATTCCCCAGATCCACTGGCAGAACCACATCTTTTTTTTTTTTAGATAATTTTTTTTTATTTTTAAACACAAACATACACATACAAAAACATAAAAACATAAAATCCTCTGCCATCTTATATACATACAGTGTGTCAGTTGGTTACGTATCTTTTGTGCTATACTTTTGTAGTCATTTACTCACAATTTATATCAATCTTCACGTTGTCAAACTAACATATGTTTATATATTTATCAGTTATTAATCATCCATGACTAAACTATTTATTCCATCGTTTTATGCAAGATGTTCCACATTTTATCTTAAAAGCAGAACCACATCTCCAGAGCCTTCTGAAAGGGTGTCAGAGTGGGGGCCAATTTAATTTCCGGAAGGATGATGTTCCAAAGGGAGGGAGCCACCACCAGATGTATCTCCTTAGGGGATGGGACCTGAAACATTCCTTGCCTCCCCTGTTTAGAATATCTGCCCACAAAGGCAAATGGCAGCTGTATTCTCAACATACTTTTCTGTCTTTTCAGTTTTAAAATCCTGTCAAGGCATAACTGTCTCTCGCTCTCAAGAAGGTACAGGGGAAGACGGCAGAACTAGAGGCTGCCTTTTCCTAAATGGTCCCCCAAGGGACACTGAGGAAATAAAAGATCTTCAGCTACTACAGTGCAAGAGAACGGCAAACTTTGAACTGAAGGAACAGCATCAAAATTTAATTTTTTCACCAGAAATTTTGAGGATGTTATCTACTGAAAAGGGGGCAATGATCCTGGCACTTATGTTTTTTTATTTACAAAATGTCTGACACTTGAACTCCATGACCAAAGAAATGCTGCCTTATGGCACTTCAGTTATCAGGCAGAGTATTTACGAAACCAAGTTACAAATTGTTTTAAGGAGCTGAAGTTGCTTACCTGCATTGGGTTAATCTTTACAGAATGCTCAAAGCACTCTATGCATTCTTTGAAATTCCGGTTGCGAAGGTAAAGGAGGCCCTTTGAGCGCTGAGCTCTGGCACTGCGGTGGTTAGACAGTTCCCAAGCTTTGTCATAATATGAATGGTCTTTAAGAACATCTCCAAGCAGGCAGTATAATCCTACTGTTTCTTTCTTCTCTAACTCCTGCCTTAAAATTTCTTCTGCCTATGGGGAAAAAAAGAAAATAGGGAATGAAAGAAGAAATGGAAGGAGGAACCTAGAATCCAGGCACTGCTAGTGTTCTACTGTTAGCCATAAATGTAATTTGTTTCAATGTTCTGCAAGATCTTAGGTTGAAAATGCCAGAAATTGTTGCAAAGACAGTGCTTAACTTAGCCCTCCTAGCATCCATTTGAGGTTGCTGCCACTGTTTAGTGATTGTTCCATTTTCAAAAGTCACTATTGAAAATCTAATCAAGCACAGAACTGAAACTACAAATAAAATAACTTACAAGAGTTTTACTAGGAGGAATTGGGGCAGCATCTTCAGATACGTGACTTCCTCTCCCTTAGCAGGTATCAACAGTATTTCGTATTAGCTTTAAATTCATAATAATATCTGTAACTTTGTTATATTGTCCCTTAATAATAAGATGGTTTCAGCAATATGCTGGCCCTAAAATACATTTTGCAACTAAAACAACTATGGAAGAAAAACAAGCAGAGAATGGGATGCAAAGCTTATAAAATAAACAGAAGGATTATTAAAAATGAAAACTGCACAATCTGCACCAGACTTACTTATCAGGAAGAATTATTAACCTTTGCAATCAGAAAGAAAGAAACCCCCGCATGCTAGTACTGTGAAGAATTTAAAAACCTACAGATACTCTTTTTTTTTTCTTGTTGTTTTCTCTTCTGCTTCAGAGCCATAGTCTGCACTGTAAATAAACATTTCAGAAGTAAAAAGTGCACTGGGAACTGCTTCTTTATCCCATCTTTGCAAAATACTTTCAAATTTAGGTCAGTGTATTTTAGAAGAGCCAGCCAACACCGTAATAACGTTTTATGTTCAGATTCACAAAACTACATTTTCTAAGCTGACCTGGAACTAAAGCTGCAGTGAATTCATTATTATATTCCAAAGGAAAGAAAATAGGACATAGCTCAGTGGTACAACTAACAGGGATTGAGAAAATGTCATTCTCTGTCTTGGCATTGCCAAATAGAAGGTGATGAAAGAACAGAGCTAGCCTAACCAGAAAGAAGAGGAAATTTACAAGATTATTTGGCAAGAGAAATAGTCATTCTTTGGTAATATATTTGTTCAATACAACACAGGAACATATTCTCAAGTGGCTTAAAACCTTGCAAAGCTTGACTTGTTGAGTGATATAAATGAAGGTAAGTAAGCACAATTATTCCCATATACATTTACCGTAAGACGCTTCGGAGTATAAGACACACCTAGCTTTTGGGGAGGAAAACAAGGGGGGGGGAATCTGCCTCTGCCTCCCAGGAATTTGCCTCCTTGCAGCAAACAGTGAACAGCCTGGTCAGCTTCAGCACAGCCTGATTAGCACAAGCAGCTGATTGTTGGTTGGATTGGCCTCCCGACGATCAGCTGTTTCAGGCTGCAGGGATCACCATTGCCTATTGCTGTCTCCGCACGCCCCATTTTCGGCCTCTGCATCCCGTTTTCAGCCTCTGCACACCCAATTTTTGGCCTTCGTGTGCCCCATTTTTGGCCCATTCCGATCCCCACCACCTAGCCAGAAGCAAAAGGCAGAGAAGGGGCACAGCTGTATAGCTGGTCAGCGGGAATGAGGAGGAACTGCCTTCCTCACTGTATCCCAGGGCATCCAGGACTGAGGTGCCATGGAGGCTGGAGAGGCTACTCACAAAGAGGCAGCCATTCCTCGCTATTTATCAGCATGCTGAGCAAAGCGATGCTGGAAACAATTCATCCATTTCTTGCCATGCGTCTGATCGCGCCTCTTGTGTTTGGAATCTTATCTCTGTGACTAGACTTGGACTTTACTTCTCAAACTTGGACTTTGGTTCCGTGATTTGTGCTCCGACCGTGGACTTGGCTTGAGACTCTGAACTAGGGGGTGACTTTAAGGATTTGCTCTGTGTACTCAGGCTCGAGGATTGGACTCATTGGTTTTTGTGCTGGTTCCTGTGTAGGGTGAATCCTGGGGGATAGCATCTGGGGCTGGCGAAGCTTCAATAAAGACTTCACACCGTGTGTGTGTGTGTGTGTGTGTGTTTGTTTATTTGTTTGTGTGTATATATACGTGTGAATGAGCAGGACAGGACATGGGGCTATAGAATCATCGGGCCATCGATCATCTCATCCAGCTGCCACTGCCTCCAGGCCTCTACTTCAGCCATTTCTATTTCTAAGCAGTACTTATTGAATTTATCCAAATAAAAAGAATTCTTAAGAAGTAGGAAATACATGGCCTTCAGGTTGATATGATTTTTATGTTGCCATTTTAACCCTTTCACAAACTTTTTGATGAAAGAACACCATAATTTTGCATTGACATGGATTCTTTGGTTTGTAATTACCATACTTAGGAATTGCAAATAATGGCTACAGTATGTTAGGCAGACTTGTGGCTGTTAATAAGTATGTTCTTAAAACCAACAAGAATTACCCGATGTCTGAAGTATGAAAATACACACTTTGTTGCTCCACATACCTAGTTGTTTGTAAAGCAAACTGGGTGGATATAGATGACATTGGATGGGTGCCTATGACATCCTGTTTGATTTCCAAACAGTCTACGATTCCTGCATTTGGGGACTGTTGGGATGGGATGGGATGTATTTTTCTATAATGTTTTAAAGATCAAAGAATTTGGATTTCTTGTTTTGGTGGTATGCAACAGTCAGGATGTTACATCCTAAATATTTGTTAATTTCTCACCCAGAACAGTCTAGAAGGTTGGTAAAAGATGCTGGAGGAAGCGCTCTGTTTGGCAGCCCACACTAAACATTTGAAAGTGGTTTTGAGATTAATGTGGCAGCCAGAGCATGGTCTAACTCCGACCAAATACCAGGGATAACATGGAGCACTTCTGTTCAATGGTACGCCTTCCAACCATAGCACTGTTTAGAAATGGAATTTGAATCAACAGTCCATTGGGAGCAATTAGACTGGAGCATTTTTCATATCCAGACTGCCTTTTTCATTTCACTGTTCCTTTCTATAGGAAACTTGGAAATATTGCAAATATATATCTTGAGCTTCTAATTCTTGCAGAGAATTTGTTTAAAAAAAAACCTATGAGTTTACAGCTGTGCAATAAAAACACTTGTTTAAAATATTAACTCTCTAAGCATCTTTAAAAATATAGCATAGCTGAGGTTACTGGATTAATATCAGTACCAGCCTCCTTCACATATCTTGATAATGGCAGTAATATAATTCAATGTTGGTGAGAAATTGAAATTATCATGACCTAGAATTATGATTTGTTTAATAGCAATAGAACTTAAACTTATACACTGCTTCACAAAGCTTCACAAAGCTTTAAAGCCTTCTCTAAGTGGTTTACAGAGTCAACATATTCCTCCCAACAACAATCTGGCTCCTCATTTTACTGACTTTAGAAAGATGGAAGGTTGAGCCAGTGAGAATCGAACTGCCAAACTGCTGGCAGCAATCAGCAGAAATAGCGTGCAGTACTGCATTCTAACCACTGCGCCACCATGGGCCATTAGCCATCTAATTCTGAATATAGGTCTAACATGGGATATCCTATCAAAACATACAGTTTGCTAACGAAACACTGATGACCAAAGATAATTCAGATGAAAGTACAGAATTAAGTGGAAAATAAGGGATAATATTAGAGAAAAATAGCAAGACAACACCAGCAAACCAATCTGGAAATGATTTACACCCCTCCCCGCAATCCATCAAATTATTTTGAGGAATCGTATCAGAATGTTCATGTAGCTCTCTCTTCTCCCTTAGTTCTCCATTTCTTTGCCTTGACCTAGAGAATCACAGAACTGGATGGGGCCAATTAAATGATTCGTGCCTTGTTCAGTGCTCCATTTAAAGCAACCCTGAGAGACAGCTCTCTACTTCTGAACAAAGAAGAATCTGTTACCTCCCTTGAACTGGTTCTGCATTAGGAAGCTATACCTGCCATTCACCCAGAACCTATTTCCCACGACCTATTCTATGTTCTGTGATCTGGAACAACAGAGGACAGGCCTTGCCTTTATTCTGTGGGATTCCCTGCCCTCCCCCAACATTTGAAATGGGCTATAATATTATCCCCTCCAGTGCCTTTTCTGAATTCTTCCAAACTGTCTTTTAAAACTTAGTTCTCTATGTCCTGATTCTTTATGTTGTCTTTTTTAGTATCCATCTGAATTTGACTGGGGTTCAGAATTAGACACAGTATTTTAAGGTGGAGGCTGATCAATGCAGAAAAGAATATTTAATGGGGCCCATGAGAGAAATGAAGCACATGCACAGACACACACAGCCATGGCCTTCCAAACAACATAGTGCTTTTAATGCTCTGTGAAGGAGTGCTTTGCTTATCTTGGCATTAATTGTGATGTTTGCATTTTAAATACTTTGTTCAGCCCTGGACTGAGGCTTCCAGATTCTTCTTTTTTTCTCTCCCTTAAAGGAGGAGAAACATTATTCCTTCTCTAGCCATCTGGTATCTCATTATCTAGATTTTTCAAAGACAGTGAATAGAAGGTTGGGGAAATCATTAGTAAGCTTCTTCAGTAAGCTAGGAGGCAAATCCCCTTTTCCTGGAGTTAGGAACCCTGACTGTGTTTCTATCAAGCTGACATTAGGATCCTGGTACTCCAACCTGCTCTTAAATTTGTTTGATGGTATCCCCTTTTGAGACTGAGCAAAAATAGAATTTCAGTGCTCCTACTTTTTTCCTGGAATTTATTGCCATTTTCAAATTTACTGCCATATTCAAATGTTCACTGAGCAGACATTACTTCCTTTGCTTCTTTTTTCTTATATTTAAATGTATTTGAAGAAAGTAGTTTTGTTCTTAGCATTCCAAAGCAAATTTCTAAAAGCCGCTCTACAAATCTAGCCCTTCCACCATTTTCCTTGACAAGATCTCCCCTTTTTCATCGCCTATGTACATCCTTTCTGATCTTCAAGCCTCCAGTGTGTGTGCGTGTGTATTTTTTTTTTAATGAATTCTCATTGGCTTCATTTGCTCCCAGCCCTCCTTTGCTTTTAGTGTTTCCTTTTTTTAGGAACTCCCACCCAATTTCTGCTCATTTTCTCAAGAATGTCTCTTGTCATGGAATCCTACTTATCACCAAGTTAATTACATTTTTTTTTCTTGAAGACTAATGTAAAACATGTAGCTACATTCAGTTTTGGTTCCCTCAAAATCAAGAGATTTAATTTTTAAAAACTGTCTTTGTTTCTCTCTCCCCCGCCCCTTCATTTTCTTTGATCATCTTTTTTGACTTAAATGCTACTGCATTATTTGCAGTATATATATATATAACATATTAAATGTATCATATACAACTTTAGATAGTTTTGAAGTGGTAGATGTTGATGGGAAGAAAACCATATAGGTACAAAAGGTACAGCATGTTAAAAACATTAAAAACAGTAATCAGAGTGAAAGTACTTTACCTTCCCATGCTGGCCTGTTCTTTCATAACAGATAACAGCATCTTCCCACATTTCAAGCTTTTTGAAGAGCTGCAGAGCTGAAGTGGTACATCCAAGGTCAAAAAGTAAGCTTGCAAGTTGACGCTTCAAAGTAGAATATTGAAAAATTCAGTTACACATTTTTCTTTAGAACAACATTTAGCAGTGCTTACATGAATTTAGATTATAAAATAATTCAAAATGCTCAAGACAGTTCTCAAAGGTATGGAAAGTTTCTTTCTTTCTTTCTTTCTTTCTTTCTTTCTTTCTTTCTTTCTTTCTT